TTTCCACAATTTCAGACTTAACAATTAACCAGTGCTTACAAATTTCTAATTTATTAATTTCAATTGCTTGTACAGGAATTCTCAAGGTTTCACAAGGAAATTACACCTATGTTTGATGGTCTTCAAAACAACAGAGTTGAATGGAAAACACGAGCTGATGAATATGAAGAGAAGATGAAAGCCATTGAGGAACAAAAGAAAAAGGAAGAAGAAGCAGCTGCCCAAAAAGGTTAAGTAACTTCTTAAGTTTTCATTTACACATATTTTTATGGTTGTCAACATATTCTCTCTCTCTCTCTCTCAAATTCACACATGCAGTGCAGTTGTGCAATATAAACTTTATGCTAATGGTATGCAAGTTCTGAATTAGCCAAATTAGGTTTATCTTACTTGAAAGAGAAGTAACCTTTAAAGACTACACAAATCCAGTACATTGACCTCATTTTCTGAACTGCAGAATTATATAATATGACCACCAAAAATGTGAAGGGAATGTAACATTTCTTCTACCTAAAGACTTAAAATTGAATGTAATTAAACCCTTGCTTATCTTAAATACAAGACATGTATCAAAATTCTGCATGGCATCAGCCCCAAATGTATTCAGGTACTTTGTTTTCAGTTGAAAATGAAAAACATAAGGGAACAGAGTATGCATTTGGAACATAAAAAAACAGTGACAATGCCCACTTCTCTTCCAAGTTTAAGATAAAGCTTTTGGCTCTAGTTCCCTACCGTCAGTTTCTTGGCTGAAATACATTCTCTTGTACAACAATTCAACATTAATCTTCCAAAGACAGACCAAGTCCTAAAACTGGAAGCATGGTTCCGCATAGCATAACCTAGAAGAGAATCTGATTTTATAGGAACTTGAAAGCAGTCACTCAAGTGTAAGAGTGAAATGAGTCAGTTACTTTTATTCTTTGTATTGCATGTGGAGCAGCAGGTCTACAGCTCTGCCAATCGATTGAGATGACTGAAAAGGTTCAAAGATGAAAAAAAAACATGTGTGATTAAAACAGTGATATATGGTCAGCTAGTTTGAAGAAGAAAAGTTAGTTTACTCTGTGTTTCACACATCTTTAAAACATAAAACTGTACTGAATAATTTATTTGTTAATCAGTATCTGTGGGAAATAGGTGAGTATTCTTCACATTTCACACAAAAGAAGCTATTCAAGGCCACCCATCAAGTTACTGCCAGTGTGTGAAATATTTATAGGCTCCTACAGAATTGATACTACGTTGCAATAAAAGTAAATGTAAAAAAAAAATCAAAAATTTGTTGCAAAGTAGTTTAAGAAGTACTGTAAGTTACATTATTTAATCAAAGCAGATTTTTGAAAGAGAAATATTTTGGTCTGCTCACACTGTGATACTACTTACACACATTTTCACCAAAATTCCACTCTCCTACTTGCTCCCAAATTTATTTTCAATTACACTTTCTTTTTAAAAAAAAACATATAATTTTAAGATTCATTTATTGCTGAGAACTAGCTGGTTGTCAGTATGGAAAAAGCATTTTTTCCTTACACTGGAACATAACCATCTGATCTTTACAGAAATACCAGCAAAACAAAACAAAACCTGGGACCTCCTTACACAACTTCAAATCTCCTTATACATTTGCTTTCTCAGCAAAGAATACTACCAAAAAATGTTACCCAAGTCAGATCCAATGCTCCTAAGGATAACCTTCTTAAATAAAAATGAAATAATCAATTTAGGAAGAGTCAGTTATTTCTAGTCTCACTTGGAAGTTAGAACCATCATACATGATTGGTGTTTGGAATCACTTCAAGTAATTGAATTAAGAAATGTTTTCCTTAAAGGAAAATAGGAAACCTTACACAGGCAAGCGTGAACAGACTGATTTGCAGAACCTAAGGATCTGGTCTTTGCATATCATAACTGGCAACACAAAAAAGAATTATTCTGCATCCTTTAAAAACATGCAATGGAATGAGGCCATGGGCATTTGTGAAGAACAGTTCTGACCCTGTCAAATGAAGGTCATGTAAATATGTGGGTTTGTTAAGTCAGTTCATACAAACAAAGATTTGATACATGCTGAACCATGGTGGTTTCTCTAGAACACACTGACCTGGCTATTCTTAGCCATTCAGTAGACACAAAATAAACATGTTTGCTGAACCACTACAGTGGAAAGTTCAGAACTGAAGTAAAGAAAAATACAGTATTAAACTGAGAAAATCAAATACATAGTTAGTAACATAGTGTTGATTATATCCACAAATTACAGAGGGTAGGACACTGATCATGTGACATGTTTCAATGCAGGTGGAAAGGGTCGAAAATGACCTAAGTACATGGTGATCCACAGCTTTCAAATGTAAGTTTTAATTCTAATATTGGTATCTTACCTTAAGTGAATCTGGAAATGCAGTTTATTACATTGAAAGAATCTTAACTATGACCATCTGTGGAATCATTTGAGAGAGAGTTACAGAATCAGTAGCTGTAAATAAAAACATGAGAAGTGTCTCTCTCTTAATTAGTATTTACAAAGGGATTCATGCAGGGTTGGAAAAAGGTTTATGCAGTTAGGTCAAATTAAAGTTTTTGTATCATCTGCTTCAAACATAGATTCACGGATTATATTGATTCAAGAGTTTCTTTCTTTTGCATGGCTTGCATACCTCAGTTGTGTATGTGTGGGACAGTCATATATTTTAAATACTGAAACTTTCCAGTAAGAGTGGTTCAGTGTGTGTTTGGTCCCTTGACAAATGTTGCTATCAACTCCTACACTATATACACATATGTATATATAACGTGTCATTGTTTCTTATTCCAATATCCCAGACAAGCAGTGAAATTTCAGACAGCCAAACATACAAAATATGCATAAAATAAAAGCAGCACTCCATAATAAGGAATTAGAGCAGCTAAAATTAACAGAAAATACTCATTTTACTTTCCTTCCTTGTTTTTTAACAGAAAGTGCTGCTGCAGGTGGTGGAGGTGGTGGTGAAGAAGGAAAATCCAAAACATGTGTAGTTTTGTAATTCTTTGTCTCAGACACTGTTCCTGCTACAACAAAGACATCTAGAAAGAACTTCAATGAGCCCCAGTGGATTTCTGCTTTGCATAGAATAGTATAGATCCATCTCCTAATTCTCTTAAACACTTGCCATTTGTTGGAAATAATTTTTAATGGATTAAAAAACTGTTACAATTAAAAACTGGAAAAAATAATGGTGCAAAATGAGTTAACTGTGTGCTCTAGGCATTTTTTCATGTCACTCAATTTACATAGAGAACTTTTATTAAGATATGTAATTTCTACACACTGTCCAGAAAAAATATAAATAGTCTTGACAGATGCTATATGAAATTGCTGAATGAAACCTACGATGTAAAATTCAAACTAAAAATTGCAATATTTGTAACTTGGATATTTAGATTTTTATATTATGTGTATTTCCTTAATCTGTAATTCTGTCATTTTCCTTCATTTTCAATACTATATAAAGTCCTACAGTAAAACATTTCTTTCATCTTAGGAAGGCACAACACAATTCCCTAGCTCTTGTCTATAAAAAGCAGGCCCATGGTACACTGTATTTTTTCCAAAACTACCAATGATAAATCCGTAAATTATAGCCTTTTGATCACATGCAAAGCAGAAGTAAAGCACATCAAAATTCCCAATACCTGTGCTTCTACAACCAAGTAGACAGACTACACACAAATGAGCTCTTCATGAACACTGATCTTCCCCCCCAGCCTTTGGAACAAGCTCACTCCATACCTTCCACTCGGGAAGCCAGCTCCTCCTGTGGATGGAGGAAGGAAAATGGCCACTATGTTAGACACAGACCTGAGTATTCACTGGAACCAGTTTCAAATCTAAGGAGATGGATGTCAAATGCAACTCCTGCAATAGAGAAATTCAAGTCAGACTCAATCCTGCCACTTTTCCTGCTCCTTTGAGCAAAGCAGATCCATGTTTTTTTTTTCTTCTGAAGGACCTTCCATATCCATATAGAAGGAAGAATGAGTGATTTGCTCATTCAGGCTTTATAAACCTTTTTAAGAATGCTCTATGAACAGAGATACTGTGTACATTTATCACTTGAAATTAAAGGAATCTACAAAAAAACTCCAAACACTTACAACATTCTGACTTGTAAATGAACCAAATATTTTATGCAAACAGTTATGACATAAAACTGGGTATAACCTTAGTTTCTGTATTAAATGCCACTGCTAAAGAAAACCATTTCAAGGTTGTCTGATAATGTAATTTTATTTAAACTGTATTAAATTATGTATTTAATATGTATAGTGTAACTTTTTATAACTGTATGTTAAAGACCCAAAGAGAAGCTAGTTATTCAGAATATATACTTAATATACAATACTTGAAGCAACAAATATAGCAACGCAGTCGACAAAAGCCCCTTTGGGCAAGTTGCACACATTTAAGCAGATTGCTGCAGATTGGATTTGACTCTCAGCCAAGCTTGCAAGATGACAGAGAATTAACCTTTAAATCCCCCTTCTTACCTAAAGAAGCCTTCATGCAAGGATACGTTTATTTCTTACTCAAGGACGCCCTAAATATGTCCTTGTACATCTATTATGTAAGTACAAAATGTTTAAAATGTAATTATGTTAAGTAATACTTGTAAATAGAGTTCTTAACTTATTCATATGAGTGCATGTGAAATGTTCATAAATACACAACCATCTCTGCTGTTACAGTTCCAAATACTTACTAGAAATACTTTCTATACCTACAGTGAGAAGTACTTATCAAAAATTTATTTTATATAACATTAACTTCTTCAGATTAACATGAAAACTTAATTTAAAAAAGTCTGACCCTCATATCCAAAGTAATTTTTACCAGACAGAAAAATATTGGCACGGTACCTTTAAATGTGCAGTCTGTTTCTTTGGAAATATGACTGAATGAATGTTTAAAGATGTGTTGCAACTCAAAGAAGAAGATGAATCCAGTACGTTTCTCAAGCAATATACATGCTTTATTTGTATATTTAGGATTACACGTGAAAGAAGGATTAACATTCAGTCAATGGGAAGGAGATCAGAAGCCACAGGTAACACAGAAGTCACGTACATCTCCAGCAGAATGCCACGTTATTTTTTACACCAAAAATATCACCAACCAACCATATTTTTATAGGTGGAATTGTAAGACACATCACTTTACAACTAAAATTTAAAAGAAAGTCACAATAAAGTGAACTTTTTGAAGCAGTAGGAAAGATTTCAGATATGGTTTACTTAATTCAAGTAGAACACATATTTGACAAAATTTGAGTTTCACCAATAGCATTTGAAAATATTTACAGAAATTAATGATTTCCGTAAAACATTAAAGGCTAAGTAACCAATAAATTTAAGGCTATTCATTCTTGTTAAATAAATTAAAAATATAAATATATTAAAGTGTATGGCTTTAAATTACTCACACAACCTTACAAAATGGTCCTTTACAAAAATCTGGCAATAACTGAAGCTTGGGATCAAATAAAAGCAGTGAACTTCATTGTAATGTTAATAAACTATATTCTTGTTTAAGTTTGGGTGCCATATATATTTTGCAATGAACTGAAAAATTATTTCTCTTGTTTCAAGAGTATGCAGCCTACTACAAGAAACAAAGTTTTTAGATTTGAAGCCTTCTGCAAAGAAAATCCACCCAAATGGTCCATATGAGTGACTGTAGAAAAGGTATGCTGGCAGACAGGGGTCTCTGGAAAATTATGACTGGATTTCCAGAGTTCCATCTTGACAACTCATGAAGAAAATCAGCCTACATCGATTCCAAGTTTTAGAGAAATAAATCTTGAAAATATTCCTGAAACTCCTCTTCCCTGTAAAAACAACAAAAAATAAATGTCAGAAAGTCCTGGTCTGGATTTGTAACTAGGAGATAATCTTCGAACAAAAAAGTTTTAGCAAACTTCTGATTAGAACTGTATAAGGTATAGTTAATTTTGACTTACTACATTCCAATACCCTTCACATTTCCCTGTGTGAGCCAACCCTTAGGACCTGCCCCTAAGATAATCATGGTATAGAGGGGGTAAGGCAGCAGTGCTATGGCAGTGGCTCAACAAACGTTTTGCTCAAGAGTTGTGTATGTCTCCTCTTTAAAAACACATGTTCAGGTTCACTGCACAGAAAGAGATTTAACATAACCTTTTATGTGTGAATACTCATTGAAACACTTGGGACAACTCTGTCTTTGCAATTCTGAATGGACCCTGTACATTTCAGTAGCTGCAAGTTCACTACATCAAACTAACCGTGATTTTTCATCTCCTTCTCGTAGAGGACCTTTCCAAGAGTCAGCTTCTGAAGGACCATCTTCAGCACTGCTGTCATCTGAATCTGTTAAAAAATTTAGACTGTTTAAGAAACTAATTTTAAAATAATTTATCATTTTTTTAAATTAGATGGTATATTGCTAGAAGGAATGTTTAATTCCAACGATGAGAATAAAAAGAACACTTTGCATAAAGTGAAAATGAAAATGCTTTGCAATGTTAATTAGTGTAGTATCAAAAAGATTCTTAGGTATCACACAGCAATGTTTTGGTCAAACATAACAACCATGTCAAAACAATGATCTTGACACAACAGCAACATAGCATTTTTCCCCCTAAAAGTAAATAATTACAAATCCAGATTTACAATACAGTTTTAATTTATGCTATTAGATTATTAATTACCTTACTTAATTGATAGTTCTTATCAATTGTGACTTACCAGTGAAATTCTAAGAAAACATGGATTATTGCATAACTATTTAATATTAGTATACAGGAAGTTTGTATGAGAAGCTCCACACCCACCCCCCCACCTCTGAATCTTCCAATAAGCTTCCTGACAAAACAAATACTTTGGGCATGGTTCCAGTCATAGGAAAATTGCTTCAGGTCTTCCTGTATCTAACTGGGAAAGCCTAGGAGGTGAAGACATTCTTAAAATAGTAGAGCAGAGCAGAGCCATCAGTGAAAACAGTCAATCACTTCTAGACAGTCTGCAACAAGAACTGGCATGGCCAGGAGATGGGGCCTGTCTCACAAGGAAGAAACTGCAAACTGGACTCACTGAGATACAAGCAGAGACTAAGCAGTGATTGAATGAATCCACCTGCAACAAGTAGGTCTCTGAGGTACTACAGATGGTAGTTGGAAAAGACATTAATTAAAACTTAGTATTTATTTCAAATATTTTTTTAACAGAGTACCTATCAGTATAACTCCCTGAAGGAAAATGTAGCAGTTATTACAGTTATTATACCAGAAAAGTATTATTTTTACACAGTACAGACTACACAGCATGAAATTACCTATTTTTGCACCCTCTGCTCTTTTCTGGAACAACCTGACCTCTCATTTTTCTGGTTATTTCCATTCTGCTATCTGCCTACATTTTTATTTTTTGATTAAACAATTTCCTCCTTAAAATTCCCTACACTTTTTCTCCAAGGTATGTAAGTCATTCATTCAAACCTTCATATTTCTGCTTGTTTCAGACAGCATTCTTATCATATAAAATATTAAAAGAGACAGCTAATAAAACTAAGATTAATGACAACTGTCTATGGTATTATACAACTTATTACAAAACCATAAAGGATATTAAAATACCTTTATCAGAATTATCTGAATCGTCTGAAGAAACCTGATCTGTAAAGAAACACCAAAATAGAAAAAAAACACAGTAAACTGCTTTTGATTTTATCTGTTATCTTATATTTTTTACAAAGTTATTTCCATCACAATTTATTACACTTAACATGTGCACATGCATGCATACACCACATTCAAAGAAAGAGAATGAACACTGAAATAAAAGGATTTTTTTCATGAGTGCAAAGGTCATCAGTTTGAGACTAATTATGTCAACCCAAGATCTCTGTTGTAAAAAGGTTATCTAACGTTTCCAAAAGGCTTTCAACCCCAAATACTTCACAACCCTTTCTACTATGCAACATCCAGTGCTTGCACAAATTTCCCTTGCAGTGCATGCTTTTCAAAAGGCTGTTCCTCTCTGTTAAATATAAGAAATTCATCTTTTTTTCTGCATCTAGGAAATTTTACTAAGAAATTTGCCTTTTTGACTACCTGTGTTGCAGTCAAGAAAGTTATATATTTGTATGTGTAACTAGAAGTATTTATACATAACTATATGTCTCCATCTATGCATCTGTAGCAAAACTAAGGTTCAATTAACCTATCTCAGCATTTTAGCAATTGAAGTTTTAAAGTTTAAATTTACCTTTACAGGTCTTTTTCTTGGACTTTTTTGCTGAACGAGACAATTTTGTCTTCTTATTTTTTGGCTCCTTAGACTTCTGTGCAGGTGTGCCTCTTTTCTTGCACGTTTTGACTTCTTTCCTCCTTCAAAAAACATGAATGTATACCTCCTCTGTTACATCTACTTCTTATGCAACAGTAAATCTGAAATATTTAATTCAGTCAAACATGTGTCATTTTTTCAGACACCTACCAGTAGTTAAATAGAAAAAAACTGCTTCAGTTAGAAAAAAAGTGCTATTAGAAACAGAAGGAAAATAATCACTGGGCTGAAATTAAGCAAATGAAACCTCTGTTGTGGTAGGGATGGAATTGTTCCAGTCTGAGGGGTTCTGTCATTAGCAGAGTATCTTAACCCTCAACAGTGACAAGTCAGTGGCTTTATAAGAACTCAGAATATTTATCCTATTTCAGGATAGATGAAGTTCCTAATTATCTCACTGAAGTTTTGTCCCTGTGTGCTGTTCATCATAATTGTAATTATTTTCAAAATATTTCATTACCGGTGATGGAAGTTTAGCTTGTGGGAACATTCTGGACATAGTCCTGAAAAAGAGAAAATGAGAACATTGCAGCCAAGAATCTGATAAGCATAATTAACAAAACCACAAAACTAGCTAGAACTAGATCCTTCACAACACTAGTTACAATGTAATTGCAGTCAGGATTGAAAAAATACATGATGAAAGTCCTCAGTACAAACCCAGATTTTACTAAATGCGAAGGATGATCACAAGTTTAGCACTGGCAGCTCTTCATTAAAGACCTACCAGTGCTTCTCACATACAGACATCCCATTTATGGATCCTTGTGGACAGATCAAATTCTTCTGCAATTATACTGAAGACGTGTAAGGCTCTTAGAGCTTTCTCAGAGACCAAGTGCTCCACATGGAGTGTCTTGTGCACAAAAGGAAAAAGCTCCACTGCTCACTCATTTTACACAAAGTAACTGTATAAACTGTACTAAGTTTAATTATCTGACAAATGCATCATCATGTACACAATTCTGAATTAGAAAATCACAGTCAAGATGTAAGGATGGAAAATTATTTACATATAGAACTTTCAGAAGTTATTTTTTAGAAGAAAACTCATATATTTAAAACAAAATCAGTAGAGTTGAAAATGTGCAAGAAGTTGTCTGGTCCAAAGCCCTAAGGACTTCTAAGCCAAGTAACTGAATGAGCAGTGACAATGCTGAAATTCTTCCTGCAATGCAGTATTGTCCATTTAACTAGAAATGCTTCTATATGAAACAGCTTATAGCAAATTATTCTAATTTTATGACATGCTAATTATACAGAATAAAGTTCTTAATCTGTAACAACTTTGTCATATATAGTGATAACAGCTGTTGTCTCTAAATCAAGAGCACCATACTACCACCTGTGATTCATTCAACAAAAAATCTATTCTGCATTTCTCATGAACTCTTATCACTGGATCTCACTCAACACCATTCAAAGTACAAGATATTTGTCTTCTTTTAAGTGTACATATCCTAGAAGGGCTGACTTACTCAATTTCACAAGTGCATTCCTCTTTTCACCATGTTCAACATAACCAAAATTCACCTCCCAGCTCTTCAGGCCTTCATTCTCATCACAGTGTTTATTTCCACAGGAAAACTGACCTGTAAAGAGTCAAAACCAGCAAACTGTGTTTCAATGATTAACATTAATAGATATGGGGTTGTTATTTCCAGTTCTGCTCAGTTTTTGCTTTTCATTTTCCATTTCTTTAAAATAAAAAATCCCCACAAATCAAAAAATAACATCTAGATTAAGGAAATAATAACAGGGAACAACAAAGCAACCATATTTGTCCAATATTGCCTATTTGCAAAGGAAAAAAAACATAATTGTGTTTTGAAATGCATGGATGAAGGTGTACATTATGAAATAATAAGCCTAATATGAACCCTAAAAAAAATGAGCATCACCAGGATACATCCTATACCCCAAATGATTACTTATTTAGCAGAGGAAGATGGATCAGAAGTGGTGATTCAGATGTGCACCTTTAATGACATCAAACTATTCAAATTATCATGTTTGTACCCTATGAAGATGCCCACATGCTTTTTACGTAACCAGTGTACCTGACATACTGAATTTGCATTCTAGTGACTATCCATAAATACCCTTCTTGTATGAAAAGGAAATTCAACTTTGTGATAAATGCTAAATCAGCTTTAAAAGCTTCCTTTGGTTCATTATGTGAAAGCAACACTGATTTTAAAACAGATCTGCACGCAATCAATTCTGTTTGCACCACTGAAGTCCCAATATTGGAGTAATAAAGACACATGCATTCCCTTTGCAGAAGACTGATTTGTAAGCAGAGCAGCAGAAAGGATGTGTATTAATAGGCTCACAAGCAGGACTGTTGGTGAACGATTAACCTCAGAAAATTCTGCTTAAGCAGCTAACTAATGGATTGGCAATGTCCTCAGATACTTCAGTTCTGTAGTGAAACACCACTTGCAATGCAAACATTTCAAGCAAAAAAAACCCCCAGAACTCTGATTTAAAAAGCAAGTTTCAAATTAATATACATTAAGTATGTTTAACCCTATGTAAGGTATGGCTATTATACCCTGTGTCATAGCAATCTCCAATATAATCTCCTTTCAAAACTTATGGCAAAGACTGGAAAGATGCCAAAGAAATTATTTGGCATTTACAATTAGTAACACAAGTGTCAGCTCTTCTTTCACTTATCCTAGCCCTTCTTCTTTGTAACCATGCAAAGACAGGCACCAAATGCAAAGCAACCAAATGTGAGTACTCCATTCCTGCATGCCCTTGTTACCACTCCCAAACCTTAGTAACAGTGCACCAGCAGTGGTTCTCATCACCACTGAACTGACACAGCTACAGCAGTACATACAAGTACATACAATGCTAACGCTAATTATCAGACAGATAGGTGTAAACGTGTTATTGCATTTAATTAAACAATTCATATGGCTGATTTATAGTTTAAAATAGCATAAAAGACACAATCCTTTTTAAAGGATTCTTTAGAACCGCACTTGGAGAGCGCGTCCGACACCCGCGAGAGGGTTGGCTTCTCGCGCCCCCCTGTGGTGAAAGAGAGGATGTACCACCCATGTTCCCACCGCTCGCTCCTCATCAGGATTCCATTACAAAGCTTGCAATATATAATTCTGCACTTTCTCCCACATTTTAAAATATGAAGTACCACATATTAAACGTATAAAGCTATAATTTTTCAACCACAAAGACACAAAAATAATTTACTTCTAATTTAATTATCTTCTTAAACTATTCAGTAAAGCATGTAATTTTATCAAATATAACTATCCATTAATATAATGTGTAGTGCTGAATGCAACATATGACTACAACTACCTTTAGAGGCTTTGATATTTACAGTTTAAAAATCCCCACCATTCATGTTCATGCTTTCTACTCTGAAATACTATTTTTTTAATCATAAATTCATTTCTAACTTTTTGAAATATATTACAATACAGGTGTTTGCAGAATACAGCTGTTTAAAGAACTGTAACTGAGTGAAACTGACCAGCAGTACAACTCCATGCAATATTCTGGCATGTGCATCCATGGCTCCAGAAACACCAACACCTCATTCACCTCACTTTCTTGCTTGTTCAGCAGGTTGAAAAAGCCCAAGCACCTCAGCCAGGGAACAAGGACCACTGTGCAAAGTCCCAGCAACACACTGGTCAGACTTCTCACCCGGAATTAGGGTACTCATTTAGAGGCAGGACTGGGAGACCGGATAATCATTCCCACTGAAGCTTTCAAAACCAGTTTAGCCTAAAACAGGTCTCACACAGGAAACTTTAATTAAAAAGTTAACATTTTGCAGAACAGCACTGGAGACAATAAATAATTTCCTGAGGAAAACTTCTGAGAGACTTCAATTACAGGTATCAAAGGCTAATGAGGTAGCAGAACTACTGGAGAAAAGCAGCTTACAAGCCACTCATGAAATTCTACATTATCAAACATGTTAAGGTGGTGCTCATTACAAAACAGACCTTGTGAAAATAAATTATATGCTCTTTTAATTGTAATATGTGTAGATCAGTGTGCAATCTAAACCTATGTAGCATAAAACAGGAAAGCTGGAAGACAAGTCAATTTATTGTACATTATTACCAGTACCATCAAATATTATCTAACAAAATTATATCCAAAAGCAGCAAGAGAAGCATCAAAAAGAAATGCAACATAAAATTAAAGACAGCATTACCTTTTCCTGAAATTACTTCTTTTTCATGTCGCCATCTAAATCCAAACTGTTAAGACAAGAACCAAAATTGAGTTGTGAATAGTCAACATATTAAGCACTGTAAAGACTAATTCAGCTGATTGATGTCCTTCATGTGGCTTTCCTTTTAATTCTGGTCATGAAAATTAAATTTTTTATCTTTTAATTAAAAATATCTCTCTGCCTCTGTTTGCCAGAATAGTATTTTTAAAATAAAAATACTTTAAATATTTGTATTTTTCTTTTTACAGGAAAGCATCCATGCTGAAAAACAATTACAAAAACAAACATATTAACATTTCCAAGTAGAAGACAAGTTGGCCTAGAAATCTGGAAATGAAAACAAAATAATAAAATGTATTTTATTTAATGACCAGGTGTCAAACAGATTTCATTTCTTAGAAAATAGGAGACACTTCCAATCTGTTAAGCTACATAACAAAGTACAGAGACAGCAAATAAGAAATTCTCTAGGAAAATAAGACAACAACAAAGGGAACATTTCCAGTCCAGTGCATATCAAAGTAAAACTTAAATGCAGAACACCCTCCTGTGCTGCACTGCAAAGCTGACAACAGAACTGAACTGTCTGACAATACAGACGGTCACTTATCAGCCTCAAAGTTTGCAGACAAGATGCACTGAAGGCTCAAAGACAACCTTGACCTAGAAAATTCTTACCTAGGGAAAATGTCAGGAGTAACAGACCCAGCACAAGAAAGAGCTGTCAGAACACTCTTCCACTGTCTCTAGGTAGCCTCACACCAGAGGCTCACATTGGCATTTCTGATTAAAAGGAAACACCAGTGAAGACCAAGCCAGACTGGTCACCAGCAGGTGAAGCACCTGGGAGCAAGAAGGGTCAGTGGGTCTCCAGCTCTGGCTGTGAGAGCACCATCTCTGGGGATGAGAGCAGGGGAGTCCCAGCCACGTGTGTGTGTGTGTGTGAATGAGTAAAGCAGTCTGGACCACCACCTGGAATGTGCCTGTGACCTTCAGGGGTTCACATGTCTTGGGGCTTCTTACTGTTTTCTTCTGAGCTTCGGTCTTTGAGAAGGTGGTTCTGCTTGTTTTTCAGATTCTCAAAGGAGATGCTCCCATGAAACCAATCCTGACCCTTGCCCAGTCCTTCGTAAAACAGTGGTTTACTTCAGAAGAAAAGTTCCTAAAGAGATCTGAGATACAATCTCTATGCAGAGATCTTCAGAAAAATTATCTGACTAGAAGATTTTGGCCAGAAGCAGAACAACTACAGCTGTGAAAAAACAGATGAGCACCTATGTGCAAGTCTCAATCTGTGCAATATCTGTATTTAAAACATCACAGAAAACTGACCTCCAACTTTTGCTTTCACACCAAGTAGCACGATAAAGAATCACAGAATCAAAGAACAGCTCAGGCTGGAAGGCACCTCAACAGACCACCAGCTTCAAACTTCCATGGGGAAGGGAGCCCAGATGAGATTATCTATCACCTTGGGCAATTGCATCTGAAAAACCTCCACAATGGGGATTCCACTGTGGCACTGGGGAGGTTGTTCCAGTGACTTTCTCATTATATAAGAATGTTCTCACTATAAAAGAATTTCTTATATCAAGATGAAGCATCAACATGTAAAGCATCAACAACTATCATGCAAAAGGCCGACTAGCTGAGAAGCTTTTATCTATCCTGCACTTCTCATAGCACCAGCACTGCAAAGCAAAAGCACAGGGTGCTAAAGATATCCAGCTTCCAGTTTCTGGAGATGCAGAAAAAAAAATTAAGGCAGGAAAAATCTGAAAGCACAGACTGTATTCCATCAGTGCAAATGGGATGAGCAGCTTATTTAAGACTTCCAAGAAAAAAGCCTGCTTTGAAATCCTTCTGTACCAAAGATGGGCACGGATAAATCAGTCACTGAGAAAAATCTCATGCTTTTTTCTATTTTTCTAAGAATTTCTAAGAAAGGACTTTCATATGATCAGAACATATGTGAGAAAAGAAAGCATATATATTTTACAAATTGCATGACACAGCACTTACGCTGACATAGCAATTCCAAAAATAGAGGTAATGACTTAGGAGCATAAATGGGAACAGAGAATGACCTCAAATTTAGGATAGACACACTTTAAGTCTGACAGGGAAATACTGTTCACACAACACGAGAAAACACACACACACACACAAAAAAAAAAAAAAGAAATCTGGGGCAGAACAGTTTCCCACAATAGACAGCAAACATATGGAAACTTGGCACAGTAGTGAGAGAAACAAAATCTGTAAGCATGCTCATGGGAAATCAGCTGGGGGGATGGGGGATGGAGTGGACATTGAGGGATAGGAAATACCTAAATAAAATCAAAGTGAGTCAAAAAAGAAGGGAAGGCATCTTCAGCATTTCAGTTTTTGTTGATTTTAATTGAATTTTTGCATTTTACTGTCCCAGTTGTCTTTAGATGACTGTCATCTTTTCTTCCTACTAGAGGTAAGCCCACTCCTTGCAAATATTTACCAGTAAATGTAATTTTCAATACTACAGAATAGTTGAAAAGGACTATACAGACTGGGTTACTGTGTGCTAGAAACACCAAGACACATCTGAGTTCAGCACCAGTCTTTGGAAAAACACAATAGAAAATTCATGTATACTCTGTGACTAAGAAGTTAGTCAGCCAAAAACTTGGAAAAACAAAGGCTGCTCCAGTTAAGAAGAAAACCTGGTGCTGGAATTGGGCTGTTCCTCTTAAGAAATTCTATTTATTTACAAGGCACATACAAATTCTGCTTCCACAAACAGAAAAGAACAACCAGCAAAAGATGCTGCTTTAGAACAGACTTTTCCAAAATTGTTTCTGCCAGCATTCAAGTACAGAACTCTTTTTAGACTTTTTTTTTGAACAGTAACATTCCACGGGTTTTTAGGCTTCATCTATTGCTCCTCTCCAAGCAACCTCTCCAGCCTTCTTTCTTTAACCCCTTTGCATTTTCTGCCTTTCACACACAATGCACCTCTTCATAAAACATCATCTGACAGAAATGTTCCTATTCCCACAGAAGCACATTTTTGAGGCAGTGACAATACTTGGATTCAAACTGCTGCTTGTAAGTGACAAATTCTCACAGTTCCCTTTCTATGGAAGGGGTAATAACATTCTGGTTTTACAACATACCCACAATCATAAGGCAATTTATTAAAAAGGTTATATTTCAAAACCCAAGATGATTCACATTAAGGAAAGATACCTTATTCTCTTTGTATCTGCTGAGATCTGCTATACAGTATTCTTTGAACAATTTGTCATAATACTTCTTTGCAAGCCTCTTCTCCCTAAAACAAAAAGTATTTTTTTATTAAATATAGAAGACAACATAATTCACTTTACATTGTAATGACATTAGCAAGACAAAGACATATTGTTTCATTGAAAGAATACAAGTTATAGACCTAGAAATGCAACAGATACACAGTCATTAAACTAAGGAGTAATTTCCATGAAAGTGGAAAAATAAATATAATATAAATCCACAGTACATACTAAACTGTGTTTTTTCAAACTCTGCTTTCTTCAGAGTTTTTGAACAGTCATTTGGATGTCAGAGAATCACTATTACTGATTAATTCTTCCTGTCAACAATTCATGTTGGCATTTGAGCAATATTACAATATGAAAGACCTTCTAATGGTCTTTCATTTTCAAATGCATCAAAGAATTATCAAGTATGCACAGTAATTCTTAATTAGCAAGGGAAACCACAAATTTAGTAAAAGTGATCTAAAAATAACATATCCTATAATAGTTTCAGGTACCAATTCATGTCTGCTTCATCTTCTTCATTCCACAGGAATCTATGGTTTTCTCTAATAATATCAAGATCCGTCTTGTCATTTGCTCTATAAAAGGACACACATTTTTTTAGTACAATATAACATTAAAATGAAAATCCATCAAATAATAATTTGGTAAGCATCAATATTTTACAGTTCTGATCTCTATGTCACAGCATAAAGGAATACATTTCTATGAAATAAAACTATCAAAAACGTATTCCATAGCACACCTGTTCCAAAATAAAAAAACTCATGGTCAAAAACAGCCACTGAAATTGTGGATGACTTGATCCTGTCTGAAAACACTTTTTATACCTCTTTATTGAGGACAGTGATGTTAAAAGGCAGTTATAGATAGCTCTAAAGAAGTTATTATTCTGGACAATAGATAGCAATTCTGCACATTCAGAAATATTTCAGACTGTTATTTTGAAGATTCTGACAGATATTTCTCAATGTACCCTCCATTACTGATCACCTGTCATCCTTCCTTTTACATAACAAAACAAGAATAATTCAGTTCATGGTAAGCTCTTACCTAAAAATATGAAAACAAAATGAAACAAGGCAGTTTTGTGTTTGGGTATTTCCAATTATTGTAGTTACCATTTGTGACCAAAATAATTAGTAATTTGATACACAGCTACATTCATCTCTGCCCCCAAAGCTACAATATACATTTAACAGCTTTGCACATCAGGGAGCTTTGAGGTCAGGAGGGGAAAGGTTGCTAATGGTTCTCACCCAGATCTTCGGAAATCCTCTATTTTGCCACCATAGTATAAAATGTAGTCATGCACAAACTTCTTATGTCTTTCATACTGAGTAAAGCAATTAAGGATTGTTTCAGAACTTATTTCCTTTTACCACAAAAAAAAAACCCCAACCAAAATCTTTTTATATATTCAAAAGAGACTTTTCTCCTCACAAACCGTTCAGTAATTAAAAAAAAAAAAAAGAATGGAGTTATTAGGAACTTTTACTTAATAACTCTCATAGAAGCTAGTTTCCAAATACAGGAATTCTAAGCAATTTCATCTTTAAAACCTCATTCTTCATTTATTAAACTGTCTTCCTTTATCAAAGATGCTCTATATGCATACACAGAGAAACTTGGTTCATTTTTTCAGCTGGGATTTAGACAACAGCCTCTTTGTACTGCAGTTTTAGTTTAAAACAGGTTTGTACTTTTCTATTATAAAAAGAAATTGGCTACTAAAATGGAATAATTTGTTACATTTTTACCACCAACATACAAATAAAAGTTGTATGCTTTAGCTTGGAAATGAAAATCATGGAAAAATATGTAATGCTTCTTAGAACACTTTGGCCTCAGTGTGAGGCCAAAACAGAAACACAATTTGAAACACATTTTGTATCACAATTTGAGCAAAATATGTAACTACTTATTCAGAAAATAAACATCTTCACAAATAAAAACTTTATGGCTTCTTAAAAGATTTTCAATTCACTTTTATCTCAACAGCAAAAAGAAGCTCCTCTGAAGAATGACTCAGTATCTGGTGCTGCACTGTCACTGATTATGATAACTGAGAAATCCCAGTATTTTACCATAATGGATAACCTGTGCCCCATCTTCTAACTTGAAAAATGAAATAGAAGGATACAGCATCCATCGATATCAAGTGAAATCTTCTTTTTCTTGCTTCTTCCCTGTTAATAACAAACACGTTCCAGTGAAAACTATCTTTCCACTAAGAGGAAAATGTCTCACAAAAGCAATATATAAAAGATACCTATCACATTCTTCAGCTGCAAATTGTCTGTGAACCACACTGCCTTGTTTTGCTTTTTGGAATGGCTTTACCAGAAGGGCATCTTCCTGTATTCTGAAGGTGGGAAAAAGGAAGAAAGTTAAACAAGAACTTTTCATAAGCAATAAAATTTTCATGTGCTAAACGTAGCACAATCTTGAGTAACAAAAATTGTTATATTGCTATTTTCTACAGGAGTAAAATGAAACTTCAGAACCAACATCAGCTTGACTTTACCTCATTTGCAGAACAAAATCAGAAAGGCATTTGCTTCCAGTTGGCATTTTGCTTAAAACAGCAATTTATAATACTTGTTTTTATTAATATTATCACTATAGAACCACAATGATAAAACCTGGAAGATGCCTCACTTTCACTCTGACATTTAAACTCCTTTACAAATCTCAGCTACACAGGAAAGTAGGAAGAGGAAAGACAGTGCATTCACTGAGAGAGAGAGTGACTGGCAGTAACCCTATTCTACCCTTTCATGCAATGCCTCAACACCTCATTAAACAGCTCTGCCTCTTGTAGTGCAATCACAAGAATTACAAATTTAAAAGTCAATTACCATCTAATGAACCATACTTGTCAGTAGGCAGCTAAAATTACTTTTAGAGTTCAACAAAGTAATAAAAAAGTTAAAGATATACATTTTAGCTAGTAAAAGGTATATTTAGTTAATTTCATTCATAAACTGAGGTGAAAAAAAGATCTTTTCCCATAATTTTCAGTAGGCAGAAAACATGGTAATCAGAAACCTGAAGAAAGCAAGTCAGGGAATTTGTTTCTAGCTATGGAATATAGGACTGTAGGAACTTAATGTATCATTTACTCAAAAGGATCTGTAAGCACAAAATTCCCATAAGAAGGGTCTATAAAACAGCAATTTGGAGAGAATTTAAGACTACTATTTTCCTTAAAGTGAAAATAAATACAATGTTAGAGCAAGAAAAGGAACCCACATAAGAGCCCTACTGGGAATCAGCAGTTGTGTGCCAGAGCAAGGATAACGATGGTATTTTTGAAAGGCTCCTGATGGTTACTTAATATTCCACATAGAAATTGGAATGGTAGAATATGCAATGGCATCTAAAGAAAATGAAATCTGAACAAAAACCAGTCACTGTTTTAATGGAGAACAGCTATATTTATAAAATAAGTGAAATGGCAAAATTCATGCTATTATTCCAAACACTAAAACATGACTTTTTTTCCCCAGAATGCGATCAGACACTACAAAACCAATTCTTTAAATTCTTCTATAAAGGAAAAATATGCAAGAGTCCTAGGAAAATTTCCAGAAAGTCTTCTTAAATGAAGTCCAATAAAAGAGCAAGGGAGAGACAGGAACAAGTAAGAAAAGTATATGCAAAATATAGGCCACATATTCAGTATGGTGCAGAAAGTGTCAAGGAACTACCATACAAAAGCAAAACAAATGCATAAACAAATAAAAATCTTTACAATACAGGCAGATCAGACTACAAAATTCCAGGTCACTAACTCGGCAAACCACTGAAAGTATTGGCCAAGGTCATCTCAAATAAGAGATGTGCAGGTACGATTCAAGGATTGATCACAACACAGTTTACCAATTCCCAGGTCTCTTCACAAATGAAATAATAAAGAAGCAGCATCAGCTCTTCACTTTATATTTCTATGTGTTTTATATCTACAAAGCCTGGTACAACTTGGCCTTTTTTGCCTTGCTCTCCTAGCAGTTCCATTTGTCCTGATGGATCACAGTGCTGTGAACAGCGCTGCCAAAACTCAGCAGTGGATACTAATGCTTGGAAAAACAAAACACTCTGCTCCAAGAACTGAGGGGCAAATATACACCAGATGGAGATGGCAGAACAGCTCTTAATCAGCTGCCCCTGGATATGACAAGCTTTGGCAAGCTTGAGATGAGGAGATGCAGAAATCAAAGAGATTGATTTTTTCAAAAACCATTTCAACACCAGACCTTACATGCAACAGCATCATCTTCTATGCACACTAAGAGGCCATTTGTACAAAATATGTAATGCAAAGTGTTAATTCTGTACTACATTACCTTTTAGTCTTTTGCAGAGACTTCTCTCCACTCTCCTCATCACTAAAATCAGAATCATAGCCTCCATGGCCATGTGCCTGAAAATAATAGACCAGTCAATATATCTGCTAATGCAATATGGATATGGCATAATTACAAACCAGTACTGTCATCATGCATAAATAAAAGACAGAAAGACAGAGAGCAAGCGAACTAGTGCAAATTCTAACATGTTGAAGCCAAACAAAATTCCATTGACAATGCAGAGTATATTCCAGATAATACAGGGCAAAGAATAATCACTTTGTAAAATAGATCACTTTATAAATAATTTATATGCATATGTCCTCATATTTAATCTTCACACAGATGCAGCAAACTAAAAGTATGATAAATACCTTGGGTTTTTATGTTCTAAACAACGTTCCTTATGTAAGACAAAGGTGAATATCTTCCCCAGGGCCTAGTCTTTCAGGGGACTGGAGGACAGCAAGTGATATGTCCACATTATAAATGAAGGAAAATGGGAATAAAAGTTTCTTGGGCTGTCATGCAGCATTTTAGATCATTAGATCTTACACTGGTAGCTGGAAATCTGATTCAAACAATAACTCAAACACAAAACAACAATATGCCTGCAAAAGTGTATCACTTCATCAGCACAACAATCCTACTAGAAAATGAAATCCTCTTTTCCACACACTTTGAGACTATAATGATAATTAATGCATATAAGAAAACTGAAGTATCCATATTGTAATGCTTTCAAATGACCAAGCCCAGATGTATCACTTCCATTTTTCAAGGCACAGTTCCATGTTCAATTCCTTCAGGAGATGCAATAGTTTAAGCAGATCCTATCTCCTCTCTCTCACTCCTACTCTTGGTACCCTCCTTCCAGGTGCTCAGTTACAGTTGTAAAAGTACACATGAACCAGATCAAACAACTCACCCAAGTTACAAAGGAACCTATGCAAAAAAAGATTGTTTTAACCCAGATAAGTTTCCCTGCAGTTCATCCTGAGCCCCCACAATGCACACCAGCGAGCTGAAGGGGCAGCACCGGGAGAGATCAACCAGAGCTGGGCCCCATGTAAACCAGCACCAACTCCAAACCAGCTTTTACACAACTGAGGTAAAACCAAGAGGGATGGTTATTAATGTAGCTGCATGTGGCAGGGTTCCACACATGCTACCAAAGTGTCCTGGTAAGTGAGACTGTTGATAAGAGAAGACAACGGGTTAGAAAACAAGCGCGCTCGATTCAGCTCATTCTTACATAACCTACAGTTATACTTCTCCTAGCAAAAAAACTGAGAAAAACAAAATGTGAAAAAAAGGCACAACTCTGCAGGATGATTTTGATGAGGTGCCTTCTCTTGATGCAAATGCCTTGCAGAAATGCCATGCTGAAGAGTCAGCTGTATCCTCTACTGACACCAACAACTGGTTTGTATTGTGCACAGTATGTAAAACACTACTTTCAACCTGACAGTGAAGGACTCTTTTAAAGATTTTAAAAAATCCTTTACTATTATTAATAAACAAAAAATGTAAGGCTCCTCCCAGTCTTCTGGATGCTTCTGAAGAACACATAACTCTCCTACACATATATACTTCAAGAAAAGCAAATCAGAACTTTTTCTGAACTATTTCCTATTTCCCATGAGACATAAAAATTGTCCATTACCAAACAAAACAGAAACAAACCAAAAAAGCAAACAACCCCCCCAAACAAAACCCCAAACCAAATAAACAACTGCAGCAGATGTCTGCTGTAAACCATCCTTATGAACTTGCAAAAAAGCAGCAACAATGTAGTTTCATAGCTAGGTGGTTCTAGTAGCCAGCCTGTCACTACTTTTGCTAATGAAGCTTATACAGTCTTTAGAAAAGCCTGAACACTGTAAGTATGCAGCAAATACATTTATACTTGGCCTCTAAATTCAAAAAATATCACGCTAATCTGGGAATGTTTTAAATGGCATTAGCAAATGCTTCCCAAATGAACATCAAGAGCTTCCTTCACACTAAAAAGGGAAGTCCCAGCCAACACCATGAGCATGAAAGCCCTAGACAGATGAAGTACTGAAACAGGCGAGAAAGCTCAAATGAAAAGAGATTCTCACAAAGCAGTTGCCCTTGGATGAGGTACCCTAGGAAAGAAACAGACATCCTCACTAATCAGCTCTCAAGTGATTCCAGGAATTATTCAAAAAAAGAAAAAAAGATGCAAGAAAAGCTGCTCCAACAGTCACACTGTAGGGCTCTCAGAAGCTGCTGACTGCCTTTGGTAAAGCTGACTGTGAGTATAAGGGCAGGTATGGCTAAGGACTGGGCTGCTTTTCCAACAGGAAAACTCTTCACAACTTCAGACATTCCTCTGAATCACCGTAATACCTCACAAATAAATTCAGAGTGCAAAAGAACACAACCCATGGCTGATGTCCTGACACTTGTGGATCACTCCTCCGTTGAGGCACCAGCAGAACAGACAGGTCTTGCACTGGTGCTGGGTTTGACAGCAGCAGCTCCAGCAGTGCTGGACGACACTGGCAGAGACTGGGACTGAATGGTTTCTAACCTGACACCTCAGGATGAGTCCAAGATGACCTGACTCTTGGTAAAACATACCTACTTCATTTCATGAACTCCATCAGAGAACCTCATCCATAAATGAACCTTGCCATTTTGGAAGGACAATGTAAACAGACACCTACAATCCCAGATATGGAAAGTATGTTTAATATTTAACTGCAGAAATAGACGAGCAGATACCAAAGCTTTGTGCCTAACCTAGCAGATATAGACATGGACATGCATAATCATCAACAGAATTTCAAATAACTACTTTCACTATTTAGTAAACTCTTCAATATAAATTTTGCTTTGATGGAATTTGTCAGACTTAGAATGCTTCTAGTTAATTACTAATACAAATACCAAGTGTTTTCTCAAAACATGAGCCTGAAAGCTAACTTAAATGATACAGTGTATTTCGCTGTTGCACCAAATTTGAATTTATTATTGCCAAACAAAAAAACAAACTGAAACCACAAAATTAAAACAGGCACAAATATGCTTTGGAGTACATTTAGCTCACACTTAAGTAATCCAAACATCTTGGATTATTTAATGATGAAACAACTGGAGACAGAACAGAGACCACTAAACTCTCGGCTCCTAAAACCCACAAAAGACACAGTAAATGCATGAACGTTGTACACAACTGATGTCAGACTGAGACACCAACTCTTGACGTCAATCCAGGACACTACAAACTGCCCAGCACGGCATTTACATCAGGCATTTGTATCCAGAGAAGGCACCTGCTTTAAGCCTCTCCAACGGGGTAAACACACACTGGTGAAATGTACCCACTGACCACAACATGTGACTGAACATGAAACAACAGTCAAGAAGAAGAAAAAAGGCAAAACAAACCCATAAAATATTCCCAACTCGTGGCTCCTGACCTCGTCTCGCCACTGCCCTCATAAGCCCATCCCTCCCTTTATCTGCTCGCATGCAGGTCTGTGGCCCTGCTCACAGCCCAGGTGTGACCCAGACTAGGCCCGAGTGCTTGTTTCAGTACAAACTATTTGGGGAGGGATGAAGGAAGCACAGGATCTATAAGAGGACTTGAGGAGCAATCCTTGATGGATGAAGGATGCTGTGTGGAAGGTCAGAATGCTTCACTGCAACATGCTTTTCTCATCTTGATGTTGCCTATGAAGCTTTGCAACCCCCACTTGGGGAAAAAAGACTAAGTGTCTAGCTTCAAACTGATTCTTCCTTACAAAACCTATTACAAGGAGTACCTGTGTATACTGTACAGGGAACGGCCCTAACAAAGAGAAAAAGCATTCGCAAGATACTGCCCCTTTATTACAGCTATGAAAGAAAAAGTAGGAGTAAATGCAGGTAACAGCAGACCACGACATCGAGGATTAGAGCTTTGTGGAGCTCCACGGAGAACCGAACACCGGCCAGTCGGACGCAGCTTCCGAAGCCGTTCTTTCTCGCTTGCTATCTTGCAGCGGCCCAGCGCTGTCCCGGCCCGCCTGACCCTTCCTCCGCCGCCGCAGTGGGGCACAGGCACGGGCCCCCGGCTGCCCGTCCGAAGGGCGGCTCGGCCCTTCTCCTCACGGGCACTGCCGGGCCCCGCCGCCATGGAGGCCGCGGCCTCCGCCGGGCCTGTGCCCGCCCGCTTCTGCCGGGCCCCTCCATCCCTCCCTCCCGGCCCCACTCACGGCCGAGGAAAGGCGCAGCTGGTCGGGCTCCATGGCCGCGGCGTGGCGACGGCCGCCTCCGCCGCCCGGCCCCGCTCCCGGCCCCGGCGCTGCAGTGCGGGCCGCTCCCGGAAAGCAGGGTAGAGGCGGAGCAGGGCCGCACCGGGGGCTCCCTTCCTCCCTCCGTCCCTCCCTCCGCCGCGGGCGGGCGGCGCGGGGCAGCGGGGCGCGGGGGAGGGCGAGCCGGCACGGGAGGGGAGGGGAGGGGAAAGCCGCTCATCATGTTTAGGGGCGAGGGGAGTCTCCCTGCCCGGGAACCCGGTCAGCGGCCCCGGCTGCCGCGGTCTCCGCCTCTGGGAAGGTAGGACTGTGCCGCAGGGGCTCAGAGAGGCCTGAGTGCCCCCCCTCTCCCCGGCCCGGGTCGCCCGCGCACCATCCCCGGCGCTTTCGGGCAAGGCAGTCCCTGTTGGTGGGGCACGGGCTCAGACCCCGCTGCGGGCGCCGGGGCTCGGCGGAAAGGGTGCCTCGGGAGGGATCGGAGAGGCGGGGGTCGTTGTTCGGGAGGGGACCTCTCGCGGAGAAGGGGACCCCTGCGGGCGGGAGGCCCCGGGGGGCGCTCTGCGGAGGGCAGCGGCTGCCCGGCGTGCCCGGGAGGTGCGCGCTGCCCTCGGCGCGGCACGGACCGCGATCGTGGCCTCGGCACGGCGATCTGTGACACTGATTCCCGCCTGTGCCAGCGGCTTGTCTGCTTTTCAGTCGCATCTCGCAGTTAGAAGAACGAAACGCAGTATGTGACTCAGTTTCCCTTTGAGGACAGGTGGCAACTAGGCGATAAGAGTTTGGGAGCCTGTGGGTTACATCATAAAAAGGAGCTTTATAAGCCAGAAGTATTTGCTGATAAAGTAGCTGGGAAGCACCAGTCTTCGGCATTAAGTCATCAGATAGAGCGATTAGCTGCCAATGAATTTATAGTTTCCCATCAAACACAACCTGAACTGCTGAGGTCTGAAATGCTGTAGTCCATCACAGTTACTTTCTTCTGGCCTGTGTTTCCAGCTGTGTTATTGATTCCTGGATAGTTAAACCACAGACACACTTAATACAGGCAAATATTAAAAATTTAAATACTGCTGCTACCCTTGTAATATGCAAGTTGTAAAATATAAGTTGTAGTTGTTGCTTTTCTGCAGTAAGACACTCACACACCACAGCTGACAGTGTATCTCCTTACCTTGGCTAGTAGATCTCTGTTTTCAGATTTTTTTTCTCCTGACCTAGCGTTTGTGTTACTTGTTATGTCATTATTGCTGTGAAGGGATGCAAAGATGCTGCTAAATTGTCCCATGGAAAGGAACTGAGTGGCACTGTGCATATTTGAGTGCATGCAGTATTCTGCTGAAGTCCTGCTGAATGTGGCTCATTTCCTCTAAAGGGCAGAGACTCTGTTGCAAGAATGGAATTATCCTAATTAATAATTTAAATATATCAAAATAAATAATGTATATCCTCAAAGCTGTAAAAGCAAGCATCTTTTTGTTGTTCCTGTCTTATGGAAATGACAGACTGCTTTAGTGTGAATGAATCCTGACATGATTCTGGAAACTGGGCCAACATATCATTGATTATGCACTTTGAAGAAGAGTGGGAAAGGTAGAGGAAAGATTTACAATTCTTGAATCTCTTAGCACTGCGCTGTGGCCACAAAGCCTGCATATAGAAAAAATACAGTTTCTGGGACAGGAAAATTATCTGCAGTGAGTCCATCTATAGCAGCTGCTGTAGATGCTGAAGTTATGTTATAAACAGCTTTTCTGAGAATAGCAGCTAGATAATTTCATCTTGCTATGCTATGCTTTTCTGATGTCTAACTGTGTTTCTTCAGAACATCAGCCGGCTGCATTTTATATGTGGGCTACAGTAAGCTACAGCTGGGGAATGGGTTCAGAAATGGCCTCCTAAATAAACTGGAAGTTGAAACTGAATGTGCCCTTAGCCCTTGGTATAGGCATTATACTTTGCTCCAATGGGAGTATCTCCATAGTTTAATTCTAGCAACAGTATGTTTTGACACCAAAAAGGCACTTCTCTCATATGAGTCCCACGGGACTGGAAGATACAGGAAAAAGAACAGACGAGATGGGCATGACTTTTTACAGGGCAGGAAGTTTTGAGTGGGATTTTGATGACTGTACAGCCAAACCTTAGGAGCACAGCTTTCCTTTACAAGTAAGTCAGTCTATGCCAATCTTTACAAGTAAATCAAGCTGCCACTGAAGAGAGCATTCTTGAACTGACCCTAATGCTCATCTGACCACTTCTGCTGAACTGCAAAATTTAATTTTCTGCCACCCTAGCTCCTGTGACTGTCTGGATGAGTAACTCTGGTGGGGCAAAAAGATGTAGGGATGGGACAGGAGGGAAGTGGGAAGTGAGAAACAGGGGCTGCATTTCATCAGCAGCTCTCTTTTAGATCAGGTCAGCAGTAATGTGAAACAATAGTCTTAAATTACAGTAGCCCTGAACTTTGTGGTCCACAAAGGAGAAAACATCACTGTAGCTTTAACTTTCATTCTGCCCTAAATCTAGAATGGGCTAAATAGAGTATGAGACCTGGTATATCCAAAAAGTTTAAGTCAGACATGGTACATACATCATTTGGATTCAGAATTCAAAGTATACCTGACATACTTATTAAGCTGTTCCTAAAAGGTTCTGGTATAGGAGATTTCACAGCTTAATACCTTAATCTATTAACCTCTTAGGTATAAAGGGTTTTCCCTGCTATCTAAGAAAAAAATCTTCTTTGTTGCTACTTGAGTTAATTTCTTAACGCTCTGCACTAGTTTGTACAGAAAGCAAGAAACGATCATCATTTGAATAGCATTTTTCAGTACTGTAAGACATATATCCCCACAGTTTTCTGTTTGCAGCATGAGAAGGTACTTCAGCCTTTCTACATAGGTTACATATTGGAGAACTCTTACATTTTATTGCTCTTTTTCAGACTCAGATTTCTCTATGTATTTTTAAGAAATACAAAGCATAGATGTTTACTCATTAACAGTATCTAGCCAGGAAGAAACACATCAGCCTTCCTGCAGAAGATTATTGCCTCCTAAGATCTTCTGGTAAAGTTGTGTAAACTCAACAGCCTCTGATCTGTTGAATCAAAATTAGTTTGGTTAGCCAATTAAAAAATTGTTCCAATTTTTAGTGAAGCAAATCAGAAGGCTTTGCCAGCAGGTTCGAAGAGGCAGCTACCACTGGTATGGAGAGCAAAGGCAGGGCAGTTACTGACAGCTACATCCATTGTGAGCTGTTGCTGCATGTTAGATTTCAGTTTGATTATGAGACAGTAATGTGGACCCATCAGGAATGCTAGTAAAACTGATATTTGTCCTGTTTAATATTTTCTCTTTCTCCATTAAGTCAGTTCTTTTGTTGACAAATGAAATTGCTTTCTAATGCTATTTGATATTGGCACATTCCTATCTCCTACATGTCTATGAAGTAAGTTGCCAAATCATTTATTTTTGTGTCTTTTGTACGAACAGTACTTTAGCATCTGTCGTGTTCCTGATTTTTATCTCCTCCTATTTGAAACCCCCTAGTAATTTGTAGAAAAAGCAAGTAAAGCTAAAAATGGACGGTCACATATGCCAGTAACATCACATTCAGTTATTGTAGCTCTTTTTCATTTAGCTGTACCCGTATGCAATTTCAGGGACGTGCTGTGCCTCCCAGCAAGTCCTGAGGAAGGTATACACTACAAGCAGGCAGCTGATTCCCAAGCTTAAGACTTCCTGACAGTCAGAGAAAACCCGTGGGGCTGTACATGAGAGGCAGTGCCTCACACTCACCAGTTCCTATCCCAGGTACTGGAAACTCCAGACTAGTCATTAGTGATATTCTGTAATTATCTAGAGGCTATGTGGAGATAGCAGGCAGTGCATACCTGGTTTGTCAAATTCAATAAATGGTGTGTTCCACATTTTTTTCTCAAACACAGAATATTAAACAGGAGTCTTAACTAGCCACTAGATGTCAATGTTGCTGTGCTAAAAGGCAAATGCAGTTTTATTTGTTTGGCCGATAAAGTAATTTCCTCAAGAAAAGAACTTCTGTATTTAAAGATATTTCCATTATAGGGTCAGATACAAAAAATAATCATAGACAAGCCCATGCTATGTCCATTATTTGAAGAGAAGCTGTGCAGTTTTATGATATTTTGAAGTTGCAATTAGCTTTTCAGTGCATAATCATGTTAGAAAAGTCTTTGAAAAAATAGTATCTGATTGATCATCAATTTCCTTCCTTGTTCTAAAATCCCAGACCTTTGTATAAGGTGTGTTGTATAACAACAATCATTGTATTGTATTTCACTTGTTAATAAAATAGAATAGAGCATATAATATAATATAATATAATATAATATCTAATCCTATTGTAAGAGTATTGAATTTTCTAAATTCCAGGTATCCATGGACATTTTCCTCTTAATTATTTCTGTTTAACACCATTGGATATCAATGTCAGATATACTGTGTGGAGACAGAATTTCTAGAACACGAAGACTTCCAATATGATAGGCAATTTGAAATTTTGAAAATATGTATGTCTAAAGGCAGACCTGACAGATGATGGCATTTTAGAAGGATATACGAGGTAGAATTTGACCCATGGACCTTGCTTATTGGTGGCTCCTCTACCTCTAGGGTGAACAAATCACTGCCAGCCTCCACAACCACTTACTGCCTAGTGCACTGAAGGTGCTGGTTCTATTGTCTGTCTACAGAGCATTTATTTGAAGACCAGAGTTTGGAAATTGATTTATTCAACAGTCATGGAAAGCTGAAGAAGACAACAGTGCACATCTTGAATTCAGATTAAGCTTTTTCTTCTGTTAGGATAAAAACAAATATCAAAGGCTCTTATTAAAAATAAAGTTGGAACTTCCTATTGATCTGAAAATCTCCCAAGAAGTCAAAGATGTGGAAATTTCACCCTTATTCTTAGCTGATTAACTTGGTAAACAGAATCCCTGTTTAGGCCACAATGTTAGAAAATACAGCCTAAATAACCTGATTTACTCCCTTAGCTCCACCTCCTATGATGCATATAAGGCCCCACAACTTCATACACAATTCACAAGATTTTTTTATTACTGTTGACAGAAAAGCAGCCTTAGTCTTCTTTATCATGGACTG